TTAATCGTGACTATATTAACACCAGTGCATAATAAGTCATACGAAATACCCGCGCATGTTTCATTAACTGCAATGCGATGTAAGAAACCATAGCTAACATCTAAACTTGAGTTTTTCTAACCATTCTAAGGCCTTATGACTTAAATTATAATTTTAGGTTTAAAAAATATGACATATAGAATTCTTAAGACAACATTATTACGTAATATGATGTGTATTTAATCATCAGTGTACGTGTAATTATAAAGTCGTAATGATGATCCTAAAACATACAACGTATTAACTGCAAAATCAGTAAATATACTATGCTGCAATAGTAAAACAATGCAATACTTTGAACATACATTAGTAACAAGTAATAAATACTTATCATTTGTCAATTGTATACTCAAAGAATAGATAATTTATTATGTTATCAACCTGCTAAATCAATACTGATAAAGATATAAATTTCTATTTAAAGATTTAACTTTACTACGGAAAAAAACCTGATACACACAAATATTTATCAGAACAAAAAAATCCTTGTCGACATTGGCTCTAGAAATAAAGAGACAAGCCATTACTTAATAATCTCCTTGTACACCGTGTTTTAATTTTAATAAATTTATATTTTATATTTTACAAACTTGATCATAAGCAATAAACATAAATCCGGTTAATAAAAATGATAGTACTAGCCTGAATGATCGAGGTGGACGTTTTGCTGACATTAAAAATTAAATATAGTCGTAAGTTATATGCGGCCGTGATCCACGAGAAATTTAATGCAACAAGCTGTTGAATTAAACTCCTTAATCACTGTCTCAAGTGCTGAACACACGTTGTAAGACCGAAAGTATACTTAAAGAGTAGCCTACCTATATACAGCGTGTCGTTACAACCGCGATAATAAATGAACACACGTCTGACGCTACTTGCCAATAATCATAAAAAATATAAATCGTTAAAAAATCCATAATTAAAAAAAAATATTTTTCAAACAAATTAATTAAATTAAAAAAAAGAAAATTTGTAACATCTTATACAACTACAACCGACTGATTCATACATTCACAGACTTTTTCATTCGTTGCCAAAACGTCGCATTACAAGTCTCTCCTTCTAACAGTATGTTATATCTCTTTTAAAATCATTCAACTCATTCATATGCTTTGTGACTATTATTATTACTGAACTTTACGTTACAGTTTTATACGTAAAGTAAATATTGATGTTTAAAGAGTGAAAATTTTAAAAAGTTATCCTATATATGTGTGTTCATTTATTGTCGCGGTTGTAACGACACGCTGTATATACACATATACGTAGGCTAGAGGCAAGATTAGTGAATATAACTTTAAGACTTTTGGTAGGGTCACGCTGCAGCTATGGCTGTTGCATGAACGGACAGGCTCGTCCGGGACACGGTCTCTAAGACTGGCTTGGACAGGGAGTGGCGTACCCACAGGTGCGGTAGATGCATGGGCGGCAGTAATCACCAAACATCAGGTGATTCCCTGACATAACATTTTACTTTACGAGGCGAATCAACTTTGGAGACTACGTGATCTACTTTACTAAGGTAAAGTAACAGCCGATAAATGTCTAACTGCTGGGAAAAGGCCTCCATCTGTATAGAGGGTATCAGAGCAGAGTCCACCACCCGACCCCTAATGGCGGACTTCAGAATTTTTTTTTTTGTTATTATTTCAAAAATATGCAGGTTTTCTCACGATGTTTTCCTTCAGCGCTCAGCACGTGATAAGTCAGCACTTAAAATTAACGATTTCATTGGTGCAGGCACCGGGAATTGAACTCAGGCTGCTCGAGTAAATTGATTTAAAATGGAGCGCACAGACATTGAGCTATGACGGTTCTTCTTTACTATAGTCGTTAAAATAGAATCTTAATTATATAACAATGATTTTGGCAAGGGAAACGCTGCTAAGTTGAGTTTCCAAGTTCCATGTACGTAAACAATCAGTATGAATTTTCATATTTGACAGTAGACACACTTTTTAGAGATATTCTATATTAATAAACTGACGGATAGCTAAGCGTGACGTTGAAGCGAACACGAAACGAATAATTACGCGGACGGGGGTTCTGTAACTTGGCACAGTTAAAAGTTTGTATGGAGAAGAGAGAAAAGTGCACAAAAGTAATATTTTTACTTAATATGCATTAGAAACAAATTCAATAAACTTTTATAAGCGTTAGATATATTTATCTACGTGCATATTCGTCGATAGTGTCGATGTCAAACAAGTAACAGGCTCTTGACAAACAGTTGCACCAAATGAAAATTGCTAGCATAGAATTTAAAAAATGTCAATCGTAATGAGTTTGAGAAAAATAATTATTCCCTTCATTTAAAATATCATGAATTATGGACGTATCAAAATTCAACCAATAAGCTACTTCTAGTTAAATAACTAATTACCATCAAATTAATTAAACCCAAACATATAATCCGTGAAAACGCCTAAATTTACAATGTACAGGGTGATTTTATAGACGACGGACATATTAACAGAGCACATGCAGAATTTGATTCTATATATCATTCTGATACGCATTTGTGACCTCATTTATACTTCCAATGATTATTTTTAATTTTTTCAAACATTATGGACACCCTATTAGAAATTCCTTCCTTACCGTCTCAATACAATAAACTATTCACGAGCACTAAAACTGTTCGCTGAACATAACCGCTTATCAATAGGGTGACCACTCTTAACGGGATAAACAAACAATGATTGAATTGATATATTTCTGATTATAATTATTGTCACAATAATTTTTTTTTTTGAATTATGTAATGCTCAATTAACATTATGTCATTATTTACTTCGTCTAAAAAATCATCCTGTACAATAAGACATCCAGTAGATTAAAACAGTTTTAGTTGTTTTTCAAACTCATTAACTCGTTTCAAATAAACCACTTTTTTTAATTCTTCGCCCTAATTATCATAAATTTAATTTCCCTTCGTTTCGTCATTAATAATCACAGGATTGACCGAGGTTTTCGGTGTCTTTATGACACTTTTAACAGAGACCATCGGCTTGCTTCCTCTTCAGTGTCAATAACAGCGACAAAGAAGTGGATAGCCCTTCTATCGGCATATGGTCACCAGACATTCCATACATTCTCTCAATGGAATGCTTAATTGGTTCATCGACGAACACGGACGTCAGCTGCATACCGGTGCGCGAGGACAGGTTAAAAAGGAAAAAAAAGTTTAATGATATTATTTGTGGAATGCTAGTAATGCCAATAATTGAAAACTTCCACTTCGGCAGCACCGGGTTCAAATCTCGTGTGACGTACATCGTAAATTTTAAAATAACAGTAATAACTAGTTGTAACCCGTAATACCGATTGGTGATACAATAATTTGCAAATAATATGGTATCTAGTATAGTTTGAGGAATAACGGTAAATTTCATTCGGTCACTTTGATATCTTTTATTAAAACAAATTGTCAATAGATGGCATCAATCATCATACGTCAATGGATATCCATACATGCTTTATAAGAAGTTTTTAAACGGGAGTTTTGTTATATGAAATTATTAACTTTATTCATTACCATTAAATGGTGTGTGAATCATGAAATTAGATGTGAAAGTTAAAAATGAAATCATGAAAGTTAGGGCGTTACGACAAAAAAAAACACCTGAGAATTCATAAACGTATAGAGATTGTAGTGTTTTTAAAGTATTTTGTTATTTAATTAATGCTTTAATTCCCTATGCAACAGTGCAACAATAAAGGATGCATATTTTTGTTTTCAAAATTCCAACTAGGCAAATATTTTTTTCTTTAATTTAAAAATAACAACTGTATTCTAAAATTATAATCTTCTTAAATAAATATATATCTTTCATAATAATCGGCCATTCCTTAGACTATCTTTTGCTGTTTCCTATACTTTTTAATTTCTATGCCATGGCCATTCCATTTCTATCAACAAAATCTTTTGCTTATTTAGTTCGTGTCATCACGATGTAACGTAAAACTCTAAAAGACAAGATTGAATGAGTTGCGCGGTCATTCGTGCCGAGTATACTGTAAGGTTTATAGTAGTACGCTCTACTGGAGAGAGCAAAACTAAATATAAAGTGAAAACGTCATTTATATTTCATTTGATAGAAAACAGATTCGCAGAGAATAAAGAAAAAATTCGCGAGATGTCTGATATGTCATAACTTTCCATACTGTTGAAAAAAAAAATCAAAAAAACTTAAATAAGGTGTTAAACTAAGTAATTCCGATGGATTTAACTTAATTTTTTCAGAAAATATAAATTACCGTACTTACTTTGTTTTCCGTTCGCCTGTACTGATACTTCGGTAAACTAACCAATAATCATTACTCTAATGCAATTCTAACATAGATAGTGCTCACGACAATAATTCGTGTAGCACAACGGGACACACGCGAAAAACCGTCTAAAAAAATGTTACCGTGCGAAACATTTCGTAGTCGGCTAAGCAGCTACAGTCTACATCAGCGGTGGCCAACCTTTTTCAAAGCAAGTGCGCAATGAAAAATTTGCAGCGCGGTGGGCGACTTTTTTTTTAGAGATTTAAAATTTATCAGCTAAAAAAAGATAAATCACATAGCCAGCTTCTGAATGCTTTTATTTCAACAATAAAATCAAGAAAACGATATAAATTTTAAAACTGTTTTAATATGGTTAAGTTAAAAAAAAAATGGAATTTTAAATCAGCGTTTTGAAAATCTTGCAGCGGGCTTCATTATAGATCATCAACGAATGCGGTGTTGGCCACCGCTGGTTTACATTTAAGCGGTCGCCCTGCGTGCAGTGTTGTGTATAAAAAAAAATACTCCAAAGAATTTCAAAAACCGAATAGATTGGTGGTTTTTTGAACAGTTTTTTGGAACTCACTAAATTTCAACCAAAACCCACTAAATGAGAAAAGTTTTGGTTTAAATTCGCCTCTTAAAACTTTCATTGCAACTTTTCTTCTCCTATATATAATTTAGGAGGAAAACTCGTAAGTTGGCAACCTAGCCCGGGTGCGCCACGTACCTTTCTGCTCCGCGTTACCCTTCAGCAGTTCGGCCTTGGCCTGAAGCCTGGTCTGCATCGTCTCGGCGCCCTCTTTCATCTTCGCGAGGATACCTGTTCGGAAACGCGAACACGGTAACCTGGAGACAGTGGTGTTTACGCAGCCCGAGGGGGAACCGAACGCAACACACGAACCGAATGACGACATACTTGACGCTTCAAGGTTTTCGACATACCAATATTTCAGTTTACTTTTGCCTTTTTTTTTGCCTTACCGGATATGGCAAAAGATTGCCTGTATATTAAAGATGGGCCCTAAGTAGATTAGGAGTGATATTCAATCGGAGCTCATTACGATATACTTGCGCTTCATGATTTTCTATAATTTTGTTGTTTAGACCAATATTTCAGATTAGTAGTCATATTTCTGGACATGGCAAAAGTTTATCTTTATATTAAAGAATTGCCGTAAGTGCATTAGGAGTGTTATTCAATCGGAGCTCGAAATGTCATTACGATATACTTGCGCTTCTTGTTGTTCAGACCAAAATGTCAGTTTCGTAGTCATCTTACCGGACATGTTTTTAAAGTGTACCTATATATATTAAAGAGGTACCCGAATTAGATTAGGAGTGTTATTAAGTCAGAGCTCGAAAGGTCATTACAATATACTTGCGGTTCATGATTTTCGATAGTTTGGTTGTTTAGACCAACATGTGATTTTTTGTCATACAAGCAAGTATGCAGTAAGTAAACACCTCAGCAAGTTATTTGGGCACATTTCTGTTTGTATATAATAACGCACTACACGATACACTGTAAAATAATATGTTGTACACATTTGTACTATCATCTAACTGGTTCAAGAATAGATACGACGAAAAGTCCGTATTCTTCTCAATAATGGTTTTAGTAGCTAATTCATTATAAGTTAATATTCTATCATTGGTTGACATACTTGAAAAGTAATGTTCGTACGAATGAGTGAAAGAGAGGGAACATCGCGAGTTATACCAACCGTGTTTGTCCTTTTCTTTGAGTATCCGCTCCATATCGCCGGCCTTGTCTTTCACGCGTCCGAAGAAATCTATCCGTTTCGGTAAGCGTACACAGAATTTCGATGCAATTATAAATTTTGCGCAACATAGTCCATAGGTTTAAGGAGTATACATTAAAAACTGTATCATATATGCTGTCGGTATATGACGTAAGTAATAAAAAAATTGAAAATTATTTGTGTGTGATAAATACATAACATTTGGGTGTAAATAAAGCGTTTTTATGGGGTTAGTTACAATAATCGGAGATTGAATCTGGCCAAAATCCTCCAAGATCCAAACTAGGATAACAAAATAAATTGCCCGTGTTGGCTAATGTTGCCATACTCATAATGATAAATGAACTTACCGGATATACGTTTGGCGGCGTCTGGGCTGGCGGATTGGGTCAGTGCTGCCACCTTCATGTATTCGCTGGTTATAAGTCCGGCAGCCTAAGAAAATATAGGGAATCTTCAATAAGGCTCCCATGATTTGCGGAAGGGAGTTTTTTAATGTTACATTAATTAATAGTGCAAAAATCTCATAGATACCCTATATTAAATCATTATCATCATCTGTATGTTATTCTATGCTATTGTAATTCTATGTATATAATTCTATACTATTCTTAAGATGATAAATGTATTATAAATTTATCATGTTAAGAATAGCAAAGAATTATAGAAACATATTTGGCATACAAGACGAGCTTACGAATTATAATGATTTCGATAGTGAGTGACTTACGGTAATAAAAGGAAGTGTGAGAATAAAATATCACTTATCAGCCAGGATAAAAATGTTTCACTCGTCATTTAAAATTGTAATAATTCGAATGTAAATAAAGCTTCGCTATTATTTAAGCTTTAAAGGTAATCGAAATTTTTTTCTACGTGCATCACTTTATAAACCAACTAGCTTTTCGCCTGCGGCTTCGCTCGCGTTGTAGCCCTTAAATAAATATATTTCTTTGAAAAAATCCAATTAAAAATAGCCTATGTCCTTTCTAAGGCTCTAGACTATCTGTGTACCAAATTACATTTAAATCAGTTCAGTCGTGAAAGCGAGACAGACAGACAGACTTACTTTCGCATTTATATTATTAGTATGGATCAATGGTATTGTATCTCGTGGCGGATGACGTTACGCATCACTTCAGGGACCATACAAAGCTACAACGATTTTAACGAACGATAGACCCCTATTCTAATAGTCCGTAACGGATTTAGGCTAAGCCTGCGCGTGAAGCCCTTATTTTTTTACGATTATCGGCAAGTAGCGTTAGACGTGTGTTCATTTATTGTCGCGATGGTGGCGACACGCTGTGTATACATGTATATATATATATATAAATATGTATGTATATATATATATATATATATTAGTATATGTGTATATTTATGTAATAAGTATGTAATATTTTATATATTATCATGTTCTTTACTATCTCATCTGGCTCTTTCGCACCTCCTTATTCTCTCTGCTTATTTGTCGGTTGACTGGTAGAGAACACCTAATGGTGTTAAGTCCGCCATTGTACGTTATTGTGCATAAAGTTTTTAAATAAATAAATAAATAAGCCCGGCCTAGGGCGGCAAATTTTTAAGACGACTTAAATTAAAAATCGATTGCGTTTTCTGTAAACTAAAAGAACAAATTTTAAAGTTTCTTTTCTTGCGATCTTACAATATAAACGTACCATTGCAAGAGCAGAATTTCTTTAAAATAATTAATCAGGCGAGTACTATAATCTGAAATATGTAACGCAAAGATTTTAAAAACCTTTTTTTAAGCATGTTATTTAGTAACTAAACTATAGGCTCCATCAAACCTACATTCCTGTAATACTAATTGTGGCGAAGCGAGAATATAATACTTTCGCGATTCGTCTGGTGAGTGAGGACGGACACCAGAGTGTTGCAGATGCCTGTGGGCGGCGGTAATCACTTAACATCAGGTAAAATGGAGGTGGGCTGTCAACTTTTCCCATTAAAACAAAAAAGGAAAACGCGGGCATGATATTTATAAATTGTTGCGTTTTGGTCTGGTTGATAACTCTCCTTCTTCATTCTTTTTTTAACCGACTTCGAAAAGGAGGAGGTTATCAATTCGTATGTTTACAATGTTTTTTTTTTTATACAGCGTGTCGTTACAACAGCGACAATAAATGAACACACGTCTAGCGCTACTACAATAATCATAAAAAAATGTAAAACGTTAAAAAAAACCATAATTAAAAAAAATATTTTTCAAACAAACTAATAAAATAAAAAAGAAACAAAATTTGTCACATCCTATACAACTACAACTGACTGGTTCATACATTCAGAGACTTTTTCACTCGTTAAAAAGGTATTCTCTATATGTGTGTTAATTTATTGTCGCGGTTGTAAAGACACACTGTATATTCAAAGAACCTCTTCGAGAGACATTCAAATGTATTGTACCTCCAAGCTCGCGGGGCTCATCGCCGAATATTCCTCGCTGAGCAGCTCCACAATCAAACCCTCGATGTCGAAGAAGAGGATGTGGCTTTCGGGATCTGTTGGGAGTGAAGTAAAAAGTACAGCGTACAGTTGACCAAACAGTAAAACCACGTCTATACGTTAGAAAGACTTTTTTTGCAACCGGTGCTTGCGTGCTTTCTGACCAGATGGTAAGTAAAGATGTAATCTTAGTAAACGAAGTAGCTCAGTATCAGCATGTTCACCCTTGTGCTAATGATTTAACTGTGGCAGCTCCGTCCGAGTAAGTACCAGACCTCACAGAGGACCGGCATGTAGTGGAAGTGTTATACTTCTGCGTTTCGTCTGGTGAGTGCGGTGGCAGTGTCCACTTTATTAAAAGGTGGCAACGCATCAGCAGCACTACGTCCGTTGCAGGTGTCGATGAGCGGCTGTTATCACTTAACATCAGGTGAACCACCAGTTCGCTTGCCACATTCTCACATAAAAAACTCGCATTACAATCGCCCGGGAAAACTGACTCTTTTGCTGTAAGCAATACGAGAGAAGAGATGAACGTCTTCGCTAGTAGGCGTAAAATGTCAACAATAATAGGATGGTGTCCTGCAGATAGTCTCGTTGTCCAATGATGGAATGGGGTGGTGGGAATTAAATTATACAATGTATGTATTGAGAAAATATATTTAATACGCAAATTGATGATGACAACCATGGCCAAGGTGCTGTTTAGTGATAATATCTAGTCAAAGTAAACTTCAACCGTCCTGTTTTCGAGTTTTCTTTGATGAGTATTGACTTAACCAACTGTCACTAAATAATAACAGTCGAATCTTCAGTCAAAGGCCTTGACTAAAAGCAAGGAAGATAAACAAAGATAAACACGATAAGAAAGTTGACTCCGTGCCTTAGTTGCTTAGGTATCGTCACCGCGAGTCGTAGGTTCGAGTCCCAGACGAAACAATCGTATGACCCACATAAATCCCCAAAAAGTATTATTTTTTTATATATCTCACTAGTACGAAGTATTATGGAATATGCTTCGGTAATTTGGTCACCTTATTACTAGGATAGAACAAGTTCAAAAAAAAAATACTTAGAATGACAGCATATCGTTACGGACTTAAGAGAACTTTGCGTGACTATGAGGAACGGTTAAAATATTTTAAAGTTGATACTCTAGAAAAACGATGGCAGCATTTTTCTTTGGCACTTCTGTACAAAATTGTTAATTCAGTGGCCCATTCTGAGTTACTAGCTAAAATAGGCATGAATACAAACTATCGTAGTCGTAATGCCAAATTATTTTATATTCCACTAGCATCTACCAAATTTGCCCAAAATAACCCTATCTCTAAAATGTGTTCCTTGTACAACAAACTTACAACCATTTATGAATCAGTAGATATATTCCATCAGAAGCTGAGTGCATTTAAACGAAGAATTCGAGGCACATAATGTTTTTATATTTTTTTTCTTATTTTTTTACTTTTATTTAAGTAGTTACTTTCAATACCTTTGTCTTTTGGCTTTTTTATTTTATAACTTAATATTGTTTAATTATACCGAAGCATGTAGTGTACATATATTTTTGGCGGACAGTGTGTATAAGTTGCCATTATTAAGATTATTGTTAAGATTATTGTACTGTTTGCTGTTCTATGTACCAAATAAGATAAAATAAAAATAAAATACCGTCTCGGATCTGGATGTTGATCCACGCGAGATCTATGTATGTAGCGCCTTTGCAACACAGTTTTTAATCCCACAGTAAAAGACAATGCAGAAGGACTACTCGCTCACCCGTCGGATTCGAACGGAAGCCCTGCACGGTGAGGGGGGCGCGGCGGGCGCGCGCCGGCTCGGCCAGCGGGCCCCCGCCCCCGGCGCCCCCGCCCCCCGACAGCGCCGCCAGGCCCCGCGCGGTCGCCGCTCGCATCGCGGTCAGGTTGCGATGCCGCAGCCCCCTGATACACCAACATCACCATCATCAACATCATTGCCTCCTTATTCGTCATCAGCACCATCATCGCATCGCGGTCAGGTTGCGATGCCTCAACCTCCTGATACATCATCATCAATACAATCATTATCTCCGTATTCGTCATTAGCACCATCATCGCATCGCGGTCAAGTTGCGATGACCCTACCTCTTTATACATCATAATCACCATCATCATCATCATCATCTTATTCTTCGTCATGAGCATAATCGTCATAATATGAATCATAAGCAATGTCGCCATCATCAACATTACCATTTCAGCGTGTTCGAGTCCACATAATTATGATAACAAAGAAAAAGGACATTAACTTTTTTTTCTTTTCTACAATAATTTTCTTTCCTCGCCTTAATTTCTATTCATTTGACTTATACAAAGATATAAAGATGACTCGTTGTCTCAGTTGCTAAGCTACTGGTTTCGGCGCACGGGGTCGTTTGTTCGTTTCCCACCAAGTATTTGTTTGACCCAAAAATTATTGTTCCCGATGTAGGTGTTTGTTCCAAAGGAGGGTTGACGTAAGGCAGGCGGCCGGTCGTGCCGACCCCACCTACGTGGGATATAGGCAAGAGGATGATGATGTGACTTATACAAACATTAGTATCCGCACGCCGCATCCGCAACCAGCAAATATATGAGCTATTGTATTTGAGCAATTTAGACCCCTATATACAGTGGCAGATTTGCCCTAAGGCCCAATAGGCCCGGGCCTAAGGCTGCCATATATTAGGGGCGCCCAATCGTGACAAAAAATTCACTGATGATAACAAGATATATGGTGGGCGCAGAAAAAGGTACGGCTGGAACTTACTACATGGGCATACGTCACTTACTATACAGGGAGGCTTTTCTAAGTGTATATATTTTTTTAATTAAATTCTAAACATAAATAATGTTATAGAAAAAATAATAGATATTTAAAATCAATCGTAATTAAGTAAATACTTTCATTTGAACTTATCTCAAAAAGTGTGTGATTTATGGGCAACTCTTTTATTTTACGCACGATCATTGATAACTATACCTAATACGCATATATGAATGACTACCGCATTGTCGACAAGTTATAAGGAATGGAATGGCAATTTTTTTTTGAAAAAAAAGTTTGTTTTTATTTCAATAAACGAATATACCTAACCTTTAGAATAATTATTATATAACATTTTTTATATATAACCTTTAGAAAAGCCACCCTGTATACCGGGTTTACGCGAATAAATGCTTATAGTTAATTAATTAGCTGGCCCGCGCAACTTCGTCTGCGGCAAATCTACCGGGTCCATACGTTTCGACCTTTAACATAGCGCCATCTATTGGATACTTACTCAATCCAGCCGATAAATTTACCTTACACCGCCATCTGTTAACATCTTTGGAACTCACGGATAACTATGTAATAAACAAATGATGTGCAATAAAATAATATTGCGACTATAAATTGAGATGTAAGCTATCCTATCTTTCAATTTGGATCCAATGCACACGGTGTGCAGATTTGATTTGAGCGCCAAACAACTCGATACGTTATTTATATATATTAAAAACATTGATAAGACCTGAAGAAGTCTACTGCTGGTAAAATGAAACTTAATGGCAAAGCGACGCTATTCGGACCTGAAGAAGTGGACCGCTGGGTTAGCGAGGCCCTGCAGGTCCCCAGCACCCGCCGCCAGGGACCCGCCCAGGTCGTCCGCTACGGTCTCGTCGCATGCGGCCAGCACCTCCTCCGCTATCATGCCTGCAATAAAACATACCGCGTGTAGTCTATGAAATTTTTATCGTGCTGTGTAGTGTGTAGCGCAAGACCACCGTAGGACCATCCACTCGGTGATGTAACAGCGCATCTAGTGTATTAGATAATAATCACAAGATGGCCCGAACCTCTAAGTTAAACGGCCATGGTAAATAAGGTAACGGCCGTACAGGATAACGAAAGTATACACAGAACACACCCGTCCCAATCTCTGCACGAACTGCTGAAACATTAAAATTTATATAAAAAAGGATGTATGCTATAAAGGATATAACAATAGATGCCCCAAGCGTTGCTTGAATTGTTAACTATGATGAACAGTCACAACACAACAGTCTTGTTGATCAAGACTGGCGTGAACTGTAAATTTACATCTGGCAAGAGAGGAGGGCGACATCTAAAAAAAAAGTAGGTCGATGTAATCGAAAAAGGTCCTGTCCTCACCATGCAGGACCCTGTCCAGGTGGCCCGTCTCCATCTGCCACACGTAGACCGTGCCATCGCTGCAACCGACCACCATGAAGTCGTCCGCCGGTCGCCACTTGATGCTCACCACGGGGAATAGATGGCGGGAGGCCAGCGTGACGCATTTGCGCTCCGTCAGACCTGCAGCCGAAAGTGGACCGTATTATTAAGACGGGACGTTTCAATTTAAAAAAAAAAAACACAACAGCGTGATAGATTCGCTCCACTAGACTTGAATATACATGCATTGAAAATTATATCGTATGTGGATACTGATAAAGTTGAATTTACCTAAAACGCGGAAGGAGTATTTCAATCACAATATTTTGAGCTAGCCTACATGCCGTTTATAGCAATGTTTTCATATAATGCGGCTTGATAGATTCATTAAACTTTTAAATACTGGCGCACGAGTTAAAATTACTTTGTTATTTTTGAAAAAATCCGCCATTTTGTTGTTGACAACAGGCCTTATTATACGCTATTACCACATTATGTATTATATTTGGCTCTTCCATGCGCTTGCGTTTCGCCAAAACTCTCAGGTTCTGGCTCCGCATTTTTCTATTCACTCTAGTGGTAGGGACCTCAAAACCACACAACACTAGGGTATCCTATGTCTCAATCTTTTCAAATTCAAATATTTTTATCAATTTTGCAATCGACACGAGTATAACGTCGCCGACTTCCTATATATTTTCATGTTGGCAGTACTGTGTATTCTGTCTATTTTTGTTTTTGGCGTCAAATTAGTAAAATGGCGGACATTCTTAGTGAAAATAACAAGTTTTCAATTATTTTTTTCTCGACACTAAGCGACCATACTTGAGCACTATTATAAGCACTACGTTTGGAGATAGACTGAGGCGTAGGACGTCTGAATGCCCGATCTACGCAAAATGAGCAAATTTTATCTTTTCTTGAAGTAGTAGTTTGTTTGGGCCTAGATTTTATTTTATTGATAACAGGATCCCAAGCTGATTGTTGCACCCAACTCTCTTCTCTATTGAAATTAGGGTGTTTTTAATTTCAATAGCCTCACGAATCACCCTTGGGAGGAATCGGAGTTGCAAGGATATGTGGTCTATCATACATGATATGATTGGGGCGATCTTGTGCTCACAGACTGCAGACTTTTTTAATCTAATATTATGATCTAAGTCAGCTATATGTTCCTTAACGCAGGTTTTTAAACCTGTGAAAGAGAGCCCACATTCACAGTCAAGCTTAGTTTTACAAGCAAGTTAAGTTTAACGAACGCTTAAATTAATTAAAAGAAACTTTTATATTATTACTTTGTCTTTCTACCAAGACATCGCTTCAAATTAGAATCAAGAAAGTCAGTTTCGTTGAAACAGCTACAGAATATTATTACGAGGAGACAGAATGAAGAAAAGATATATATAATAAGATCGACAACAGATGGCGGTGTCTCATTTTCAAACACGCTATCGTTTTACTACACCTTGTTCCATAAGTAGGAAATCAAAGATTCCAGAGTTTGTGAAGTGAGTGAAGTATTATACTTTTGCGTTTCTATTTTTGAAATACGCCGATTGATCTCGTAAGAGACTAATGTAGGCGTTTATTTAATAATTGAACAAATTTAGATATACAATGAAATTTCATTTGAAATAAGAAAATAGACGCATGCACTGATGTACGCGCGTGGGAAGGTTACACTTCTTTGGCATCATAAAAAATAGTTTTTGATTGCGTGCCAATAATTAATTACAATAAAATAATTAAAGTTCTGGAAAAGGATATAAATATTAAAATTGTGAAAGCGCCATCTACATTCTTTATTGAGAACTGTAACGGGCGAATGATTTTGAGAAAATGCTGCAAAAACGTGAAAGAGAAAATCTATAATAATAAGCGGTTTAGCGGGCAGCTTGAAAGGCGTTACTTTTGTGTTACAGTGATTTTTCATAACGCGCCTAAAGAATTAAAACTTTAAAAATATAAAAAAAAAACTCATAACACTCACTAAGCAAAGTCACGCTGTGGTCCGATGCAACAGAACAGATGCACTTCTGTATCCGGGTCTGTAAAATAAAATCACTCATCAAATATCTTTTTTCTAGCACTTTACGTGTGTAGACTAAGGCTTATGCCTATCTCCTTACGAAGATCTGTTTAATAACACATATATATGTCATCCGGAAGATGTGGGTTCGATTCCCGCAGCGGCGGCAAACTTGTCGTATTTTTTTTATGAAATAATTGTGCGGGATAACTTAGTTTAATAGTGTTTGTATATGTAATTTACTATTTAATTCATGTAACGTAAGTCGAAATAATTGCTTAAAACTCTGCTTAAAACTTGCTTATTTTAGATTGCCTATAAAAATGTCTGTATAATGAAATACTATAAGATTTTAATTGTATAACTATTTTTACATGACTATTAACACATATGTTGTAAAATTAGTGCGATAAAATAATTAGGGAAAGTGTATTTTCATAGTGTCATCGTAATTGATAAAACATTAAATTTAATTATTTGTAATCTAGTCATAAGACCTCGATTCTTTAAGGTAACGCACCAAGAGGGTGCCAAAGAAAAAATGTAAGCTCTCTGATTGCATACCAATACGACAACCAATCAGAGAGCAGGAATTAATTCCCACAGGATCGTATAAATATAGCGGCGTTTCGGGGCATCATCGCAGTCGACGAGCATCAAGATCTACCAGTGGAACAAGCAAATAGAAGAAGTCAGCAAGAAAGAAGCCCTGCAGCCTGGAAGAGGAGGAGCCTGCAGCCATTAGAAGAACGTTTTATTGCATAAGAAAAAACTTGTACAAACGTCTGAAAATAAACAGTGTTCTTTCTGTCTTCACGACATTCTTGTTTCTTTACCAATTCAGCACACAGAAACGTGCATTGCGCACAATAATATTGTATACGTGCTTTGTCGAATACATATCTGGTGGTGTTACCACGTTTCACATCTTTCTTCTCAGTTTATAATTAGTATTATAATCTTAATTATAGTAGTATAATTAATAGAATAGAATAGAATTTATTGCACACAAGGAAGTACGTAGAAAGAAAATACAGGAAACATGTACATAAAGGCTTATTGCTAAATTAGCATTTTCTATCAGGCAAACTTAATCTATACTAATAAATGGAGTGACGGTTTTTCTGTTCGGTTATACTGCGAAACCTAAACCGATCGGAATAATACTTATACCGTAAATTCAGCGTGTTTCGGCGGAGGTTTTAGTATATAATATGCTGGTGATAACTAAATAATAAAAATATATAAATATTGTTAGGGCACATTTTTACACAACGTTCTCTAGTCCCAAACTAAGCAACGCTTGTACTGTGCTTACTAGATAATGATGAACATACTTAAACAAAATTTTCTTTTGTAAATAAATACGTATTATAACTTATCCGCAACCTATATTTTTTTTACCTTAAAGAAGATGGTACGACCCAGCGAAGCGGGCGTAGAAAAATGGATCGCTGTTCGTTAGTCTCGGTAAACTCGAGAGCGGCTGGACCGATTTGGCTAATTTTGGTTTTGAAATATTTGTGGCAGTCAGAGTCACAGGGAAGGTTTAAACGATAAGAAATTACGAAACAGTTGCATGGAAAATCGGAATAGCAACAATTTTATTTCCCCGTACAAACTGTACCTGTCAACCTGTGAACAATGTCTGTGTAACCTGTCAAACGCTTTATGCGTGCGTTCCGATTCCTCTTGATATAATTTATATGGCAAAACAACGTGGATGTCCAGCGTTCCACAACAGCGCGATTTTCAAGGCATTTCCTGCCTCGCACAACCACTCTATGGAACCAGCTGCCGCCGGCGGTCTTTCTGAACCGTTACGACCTGGGAACCTTCAAGAAGAGAGCGTACTCATTCCTTAAAGGCCGGCAACGCATTTGTAAGCCCACGGGTGTTGCAGATGTCCATGGGCGGCGGTGATCACTTACCATCAGGTGAGCCTCCTGCTCGTTAGCTGCTTTGTTCCCATTAAAAAAAAAAAACGTTTGCCCAGTCGGCTACTATTATACAATTGCTTGGCGCGTACACTGCAGTTGTGGGGCGGCACGATCAGCTGGGCAATCTCTCCAGCGTGGACGCAGAAGCGGTGCAGAAGAGCGCCGCTGAACAGGTCCCAAAGGCACACGGCGAAGTCTATGCCGCCGGAGACGAGGTGAGAGCGGTCGTACCTGTGGTGGTTCATACAGTGTCCGGCTGTAGCTATGGGGTGAGGATCCGAGTCCGGAGTATGGGTTTTTTTTATGTGAAAAGTTGCCAAGCGTTCACCTGATAAGTGAATACCGCCGCCCATGAACATCTGCCACACCCGAGGGTTGCAGATGCGTTGACAACCTTTTGAAAATTGGGCTCCGGCCACCTCACTCACCAGATGAAACGCGAAAGTATTATACTGCCAGTAAAGTATTTACGCCGGTCTTCTGTGAGGTCGTGGTACTTACCCGGACGAGCCTGCCCATTCGTGCAACAGCCGGAGCTGCTGCGTGGCCCTACCACCGTAAACTTAAGAGATGCTACTTAAAGCAACGAAGGCGTCTTCAAGGCAAGAGTGAGAGCGCTAGCGCGCATACCATCGACGGCAGCCACTTACCGTCAGGTGGGATGGCAGTCAAGTGCTGGCCAGTTATGAATTAGGCGGCTATGGCTTCGGCGGCATCGTCGTGATTTCGATTCCCACACAGGACAACTGTTTGTGTGTCCCACAGATAAATGTTTAGGACCTGGTTGTTTGCCCACGTGAAATGTATGTATGTTTTAGATTCACCGACCGTCCTTGCAACATAGGATAGGATAACTACAGTAAGGGGGCAGCGTTTTCAGATATCTCCTAAATCGCAGAGGTCGTTGGGACTTACTACCCAAGCCCTACAATCGTGATGTACTTTTACGTTTTAAGTTTGCAAGCGAGCGGGCGAATAACCTGGTATTTAGTGATTACAACCGCCTATGCAAGCACAAGGCTTGATGTCGATCTTTGAAACGATCTTAGAAATGATCTGCATCACATATCTCTATCTTCTTCTTGATGGTAAAATCTTCTTCCTGATGCTAAGCTCTACTTCGTAGTAGTCGTGGATAAGATGGTCAAATATTTTACTAGGTATTAATCTGTAAATATGAGAACTGTTATAAAAACTACTAAGTTAAAACTAAAAAGTTAAAAGAACAAACCTGTGGTGAACATGATGCGGATAAAGTAAGCAATTTACTCTGCCGTTATGTCCCAAAAGCAATTGATGTGGTGGCCAATCTGTAAAGAGTTTTATATTTGTTTTAATAAAAAGGATCGGAAATACTTAATAATAAAATTAAAGTCTAAATTATATTCTCTCTTAACTTTAATTTATTCTCGTTTAACTTTTATTTTTTTTTTGTTTTAATTTTTAAGCATTCTGTGTTTGCCTCTTAATTAGGTGTACAATTATGACATACAATACCTATATATTGACTTTAACTTGATTTTGACTTTGACTACGTATAGTACTCATTGATAAGTGCACGAGAATAGGTTCCTTGTCACTTTGGAATAAGAGCACAATTCGCGTGCATCGATCTCACCGTCCAGTTGCTGGTGGCTGCCGTGCAGGAGCTGCAGCTGCACGGTGTGGGTTGCGTTCACGATGACGATGGAGCCGTCCTCGCGGCCCACGACCAGCCGGTTGGCGGCAAGCAGGTAGATCGACGCGGTCAGCTTTATTTCTGTCGACCAACCGTCATGCGAACTATGCAACCCTGGTACATGACTGGTGAATCGTCATCACATGAATTTTAAAGTAAGCCTATACATGTCCCACTGCTGGGCAAAGGCCTCCTCTGTACAGAGGGTATCCAAACACTGTTGTTAATTCAAACTCACAATATCTAATTTGCAGCTAATCAGAGAAATATAGGTTACCGTTTTGTAATAATTTCAACAACTTGAACATGTGCAAACCAAAAAAATGGGCAAAATTTAAGTGCCAATTACTACAAGTAGAATTAAAGTAAATTATCAGCCTATACATGCCTCACTGCTGGGCAAAAGCCTCCTCTGTACAGAAGCTACAAGGCATAGTCCATCACGCGACCCCACTTGCGTTGGCGGTCTTCACATATATTCGTAGTATTTTTTTTTTGTTATTAATTCGAAAATGTACAGGTTTCCTAACAATGTTTTAATTCACCGCTGAGCAGGTGAAAAGTCAGCACTTAAAATGAACAATTTTAATGGTGCCGGCACTGGGGTTCTCGGGTTGCTACAGTATATTGAATTAAAAGCGAGCGCTCGGAAAATGGGCTATCACGGCCCAATTAAAATTGTGATTTTATTTAACGCGACAAGCTTGCCCCCTGTCATGTCCTACCCATGTCATGTAGACAGTTTAAGAGGTCGTAATGAACTATGCAACCCTGGTACATGTCTTGCGAATCATTATCGGATGAATTTTAAAATTTTAGTTTTCTTTAATGCGACAATCCCGCCGCCTGTCATTGCCTGCCCATCTTATGTAGACAGTTAAAAGGTTAGATGTCGTAATGAACTATGCAACCCTGGTACATGTCTGGCGAATAATGATTAGATGAATTTTAAAATTGGATTTCTTTAACACTTGGCGTGTTATCACGGTCTATCTGACCCATGAAGATACTTAAAATATGTCGTGAATATTATCATCATAATATTATAAACATCAGCCCACTGTTAAGATAAGTAGAATATTTTTAATATATAATATTTTGATAAAAAAAACTATCATATAACAATTTCTTTTAGAGAATGTATGGATAATACTATGTATTGACAGTTTATTTTAGTGAAATGAATGAATGAATGAATGAATATTCTTTATTGCGCACACCATGGTAAAAAAGAACACATTAAAAATAACAATTGTATAATGGGCGGCCTGAAGTATTACAAAGTACACTGAAAAACGTTATTCTATTACGTTACAATTCCAAACTAAACGTATTTGCATTTATATTACCTTATATTACCATTTCAAACTAAACGTCGTCTACTGCGCAATTGAGTGCATTCTTTGAGAGATTTGCCAGTCACTATATTATGTATCAATCAATCAGTATCTTCTCACGTGTGTGATGTCTTTAACTGTACCTCGCCCATAGCGAGTGAAATACTAAGTCCGCTGCCTTCCGTACCTGGTTCATCTGGGTGACACAGCTGGTCCAGGATGCCCACGGGGCTGGGGTTCATTTCTGCCCACGCCATGTCCAGGCTCGTCATAACTATGGGCGCGTGAGCTGTGAACACAATAAGAAACTATCAGACTTTGTTGTAACGATAGGATAACGTTATAGCATGATACCTGGGTTTCAACTTAAGCAATTATTAATTCCTAGATGTTTTTATTTTTCAAAACCATGACTTAAAAACATCATCATCATCATTTCAGGCTGTTTTTGCTCAGTGCTAAATTTAGGCCTCCTCAGACTACCACAAAACACGATCCTGACCCACCTGCATCGATCGACTTCTCTTAAAATTTTATACATAAATTTTAAAAGGTAAGCTCCGGTCAAAGAATAGAACAACACAAAACGGCATCAATGGTACGGATACTGAGCGTTCAACAAACAAGGAATCATAACAAAAATAATTTCGAATAAAAACAGGAATACCAGGAAGTGAACACCAATTATCAATAGATAGGTCAAAACAGTTCGGTACCTTTTATTATTTTGTTTTTCAAACGATTTTCTTTTTTTTTTATCTTTTTGTTGCAGCAGCAAGCAGGTTACAAGACTATAACCCTGCTAGCTATTGTGAAAGTGTATGTATTGTATATTTTGTGAAGGGTATCTGATAAATAATGAACGAATTTAAAAGTGTAGATAAACAAATTGAAAAATAGGATCAATTAGTGTAATTAGTTTCATCAAATGATTAATAACTATTATCGGTGCTCGAATTTCAACAACTAAGCATTCGCCCATGCTATTTTAATTTTGACATATAAAGTGGGCTCGGGTTGCCACACTCACCAGACGAAACGCAAAGTAAAAATATTATTAATCTCACACTCTCTCAATTCCATTGGTCCTCACTTGGCACCTAGTCGAGCACGGGCGCCGCCGAACCCAAGAATCAAGAATGTTTGGAGCTTCCATGTGATCCCGTACTAATTTCATTGTTAAATTGCTGATTTTATACCTAAATAAGTGTGTATAATTGCATAAAAAAAAAATAACAAAAAGAACAAGACCTCAGAGTTTCTTGCCGGTTCTTCTCTGTACAGGTCTAGTTTAGTGAACCGGTGGTAGATTTTTTGTTGACGTTCAGTAAGAGCTTAATTCAGGCCTATATAGAATAAATATACTTTGACTTTGACTTTAAGGAACCTCCAATCTAAAGGAAACCTAAAGGAACTGCCAATGACCAAATGGAAAATGTATGCAGTTAGTTTTTTGATGGTTAGCAAACCACCACTATGGCAGCCAGCCATTGTCTCTTGGGGCACTCACATGGCACCTGATGCAGCACTGGAGCCGCTGCCTTGTCCACGCACCACAGTGACACCACGCCGGCGGAGTCGCCGCGCAGCAGAAGCCTGCGCTGCTTGCCGCCAGCAGATGTCGTCACGAAGCGCATCGCAGGCGGACACGACAAAAGCTGCGGGCGGGTTAATTCACTCAAGAGTCATTGATGCACGAACGCGTTCCCTAGTTTTGTTCACGCATGTCCACATGCGCGCACTTGCTTAGGTGGTATCTATCAAAGGCTACGTGACAAAAGCTGCGGGCGAATTCAGCCAGACAAGAATGACGCATGACCGCAATCCCCTCATTTTGTTAATGCACGCATGTCCACATGCGCGACACTGGTTAGGTAGAGTCTAAACAATGCTACGTGTCAAAAGCTGCGGGCGCGTTCATCCGCTCGAGAACGATGCAATCCCCTCTTTATTTTAATGGACGCATGTCCACATGCGCGACTCTGCGTAGGGTCTACGGGGCTACGTGACAAAAGCTGCCGGTAAACGATGTAAAATGGACCTTTTGAAAGTATGTTCTAAAACACCATAGGTGTTACGTTACTTTGACCTATTCTTTAGCTTTTTGTTCGTAGACTATAAAAGCTTCATCGAAAGCAGTACTCGTGAAAGCATTATTCGACGGGCTTGATATAGACTTCCACGGTAGAGCCACGCATGTGCTCGTAAGTGTCTTATCTATGGGGAGGAATGTCACCTACGGGCCATCGAGTTCCGGTACGGACCGTGACCCTGATGGCCGTTGACTGTGTCAATCATTGGCTGGGGTTGGTGATAACCACCATTAACCGAAGGTGTTGGTTGACCATAAGACATTTAATTACTTGGCACAACTATTTTGCATTAAGCGTCGCCAATTCAGATATAAATGGCGATAATATTTAAATACAATGCGAATACATAAAAAAATTATCAACTCTTTGTTGCACAGACAACAATTTTTTAAACAATACCTTGTTATCGGGATGAGCCAGGATACTATACAGGACTGGACTGTCGTGTTCCACAGTTGGGCCATGGAAACCTTTGTGGTCTGGCACTGAACTGCAATTATTAATTAACATATTTACAAAATGATTTTTCAATATGTAAAAGAAAAAGAATTGTTTGTGTCAGAAAACATAGACAACATCGTATTTCGGAAGAGAGGAGAGAGACATATATTAAATATATATATATATATATATATATATATATATATATATATATATATATATATATATATTGGAATATATTATTTGAATTAAAAGTAAAATATAATTATAATAACACTTATAAATACAATTAAAACGCAACGGTAATGAAACATGGAGTTGTGATAGCAACTTAAAGGTAAACTGTTGATACAAACCTAAAGTTCTCTAATACTTACTATAATATAACATCATAACAAAAAAATAAACAAAATACTAGTTACACCTTTTAATGTACTAAAACAATAGGTACATGAAAGACTGTTACGTAAATAAATAAATATTTATAACGCACAGATAATTTCGAAGCTAAGAAACAAGCTTCGAAATTTGCGAAATAAAATGAAAATACCGGAAGGTATTTGCGACGTTTAACATTTTATAATACAAACAAAAGAGTACTGGCAACACTTAAATGCGACCCAAAACTTACTCAATAAGCTCAATAATGTGCTGGCAAAGGAAACAACGGAAACTAAAAAGAATTACATACTAAATTACAAATCAATAGTGCTGACCTACGTATAGCCCGTCCACGTAGCTTGCTATAAAAGAAATTGACACTTTAGCATTTGGCCGGCAGGTAGAGTAAGTACTGTGTTAAACATTGGATGAATGTTACCCCGTTTGTGAAACTAACCCCCGCGTGTATTAAGCAATAAAAACACTAATGTATTCGGAATGTTGTGTTCGTTTCTGTGTTATCTTACTGTAAATTTAAAGCGATACGGTAAATTCGTCAATTCCGACCGGTCCACGAAGTTAAACAAACTTGTGATATAGGCAGTTTTATTAATTTGTATATTTGGTATAAACTGAAAAGCCATATTAAACTGAGTGTTTAAACTATTGAAAATGTACACCCTTTTACTAAATAACAAATAAGGAGTTTATTTCAATTTGAAATAACAAAAAAAAATTATTTTTCGATTTTAATCTATACCCGTCAAACTTGCGTTTTCTGATGTAGTCTGTGGCACAGAGTCTGTGCCTACAATGAGTCGGTTGAGTGACATGTTGTATTGTGTATACGAACATACAACACATATAAACCAGGCAATGTGCTCTAATGGAAATCTAATGATGAACTTACACTAACCATGATTAGTTGACGCCTCCACACACGTGGTATAGCACAAAGACAATATTATCGCGAAGCAAGCGATACAAAACACTACTAGGTCTCACAATATTCATACTTTAACGTTGCCTTTATTGTGAGGCCGTGGTAATTCCCCGGGCTAGCCTGCCCAATCGTGCAACAGTGAAAGTAGCTACCCTACCACAGCTAGATTCATCATCCGCCTTTATAGTAACGGAGACAACCACACAGCTCCAAGGTTTGGTTACGTGAAGATTTCACAAAGGTTCTATTGTTGTAGTTATTATCATTATTTCACGATTTACTTATGTTAATCAGACGGTTTCATAACATTTCGCATATATTATTGCACAAATCAAAGAGATTTTACTCTCACTCATTGAATACATTTGGCCTTCAACTAGAAGAATTATGTTCGTTCACTTGTAACGTTGAATTTATTTAAATATGAGTAAGTCAGGAATTTATTTGAATCCTTAATTAAAAGCTAATTAACGACAATGAAAGCGGCCGTCTTGCATACGTGAAGTCGCTGTTTTGAACTCAAATAAATAAACCGTGCAGGCTTCCTTTTCTCATCTTATACGTTGCAAATTAATGATACAGGCTGTAACATTTTGAACTCAATTATTTACGTTGTATACATAATTATTATCCATTCCGATTTGATCCTTGTATCGCACCTTACTATTTTAGTTATTTACAAATTGAAAAAAATTGAATACTGTTGAACCTTAACATACGCTATCTAACAAACACAGCCCGCAAAGAGCCATGTATTACAAGCCATAACTTCTTGAGAGAACACAATCGTGATATACTTGTTAAAACATATGAACGTTTTTAATCCACAGTTAGGTCTTTTAATATTTTTTTATAGTGATAATCTCTGCACATAAGATTAAAAATTTAAATTTGTAGGAAAATTAAGAAAAGATTGTCGCCGCTGTGGAAATCGAACCATGTCTTCGGCATTCGGGGCCTGGCGCTTTAGCCACCAAGCCAAACGGCAGATCGCCACACCGAAGAAAATCTGATCATCCTTTATCTACATTGTTTATTTTTTAGCATTTGAAGCAATTCTTCTCTTTCAGCGCGAGATGATGCAACCCACTTACTTGGCGGGGAGCTTATACATGTATCCCTTGCCCTCCGTGGACCAAACGAGCACTCGGTCTGTAGCCAAAAAGTCACCGGACATCCATCGCTCGCCCGTAGGGGCCTGAATGGAGCACAGGACCGAGAAGTCACCTGAAAACATATAAAAAACAACTGTTTTATAGAGCGTTATCCTTTTTTATTAAAACATTGGCCTTACTTTAGGAAAACGTAATCCTGTGTTGTAAGGACATTTTACAAACATGAATTTCACGCAGACAAACACCCAAATGCGAAACAACTATCTGTGGGTCACACAAATAGTTGTCCCGTGTGGGAATCGGACCCACGACTCCCGACACCGAAGACAATACCTTGGCAACTACGCCACGGAGTCATCGAGTTATAGAAATTAATGGTACATGAATTAGAGATAACCATTAGCCATGTAGCATTACAAGCGCCAACCGCTGGAAGGATGGGTCTTCGACTATCTCATTCGAATATTTGAAAAGCCAGTCATAGGCGCAGATCTTTTAAAGTTTGGAGAAAAACAAATTGAAGTTCGACAAAGAGGCAATTAGGATATCATAAAAAGTAAAAAAAAAAATTATGAATACAAATACATGAATACAATATAAAAATTAAATCATCGACTATAATTGTATTTTGAAGTAGCATATTAAGGGCAGTTCGCGATATGAAAGTGAAAGATTTAAGGAACTTTAATGGGATAAGGAAGGAAGTTATGCTTTCAGAAATAATATTGCCGGGGAATACAGCCTATTCTTCCCTTGATCGGTCAACCCCCCCCCCCCTAAATCCGCGCCAGCCCCCCCCCCCCCCCCACCCTTCCCACCGAAGCGGCTCACCCGCGTCGTAGATTTGGCAGTACTTGGCGCACACCACGAGCACCGTCCGCTGGTTGTACGCGCAGCAGTTGAGCGACAGCGCGTTGAGGCACCGGATCTGCTTCGACTCGTTCTCGTATATCGGCTCCGACTGCTTGTTCTCGTGGCCGAGCAGCGACCACACCTGCGACAGTTATGTGAAACAAACGGCGAATAAGAACGAGAACGGAATACGGGTCGAGGCCAACGGGAAGGCGATGAGACTTGTCAGAATCGATTCGCGAACAAATTACAGTAGTACCATACCGATAAAGGCAAAAAGTATAAGACCGCAGAGTTTCTTGCCGGTTCTCCTCTGGACAGGTCTGGCTTAGTGAGCCGGTGGTAGTTTTCTTACGTTCTATAAGAGCTTTAAATAAGCCTATATTGAATAAAGAATTTTGATTTTGAGTATAAGAACCACTACTAAGAGGGACATATAAAAACAGCGACCAAAAGAAAGTGTCTGGTTGTTTACACCCTAAGAATAAACCCACGTCGCTTGACGTCTCCGAGCTAGGTTAAATAGAGGCATCGGAGTGTAGAACAGTTCTCACCGGCCACAAGCCGCTTAGACTAGTTTCTGCCTATCTCTCGGCATCCAAAATCCCTCTCAAAGTGGTCGTTGGGACTTACTTCCTAATCCCTTCCACACAAAATACAATACAATACAATATTCCATAGTCGCTCGCGTAACGTAAAATTGTCGAGGTATACGTAAGTATTCCGGACCCAACGTGCGATAATGTACAACACACTGTAGTTCGTCCTCACCAACGAATATGGCGAAACCATACTGAAAACTCAAGGTAGACCCGTGCGGCTCTTCTTACGCCTTTAAAATTTGCAGAGTAATCACCGACCCCAGTGTGTTATAATAGTTAGCCTTTGAGATATAGTGACATCATGTTGGATAAAATATTTTTTCATGTAATATGATGCATAAATCATGTACATAAATAAAAACCATAAACAAAAGTTTACTAAATTTCCTACTTACTTTAACCGTGCCTGTTATAGATATCGCTAACACCACATCATCTTTTCTTGACGAAGGCCGCAAGACCTGCAAAAGTTTTTAAACATTTTATTTAATAATTAGGTTAAGTAATAACTATTGTTAGTACAATAAAATCAACCAATTAGGTTAGGTAATAACTATTGATACAATAAAATCAACCAGTTTTTTATGTGAGAAAAGAGTATGATGAATTTATGTGTGAACAAACGAGCTGGTGATTCCCTGAACCTGATGTTAAGTGATAACCGACACCCATTGACATTTGTAAAATCCGTAGACCTGGTGCAACAGCAAACACTCTTGCGTTGACCTACCACATCTGATAGTGGTAGGGCCACATATTAGTTTTATTCATGTATGGTTTAAATGTTTCATTCATATTATGAATGGTTTAAACCAAGGATGAGCAACGCGCGGCCCGCGGGCCGCTTGCGGCCCCTTAAACATGTTGATGCGGCCCGCCAAGCCTTTCTAAAATTGAATTTATTTTATCGAATTTCTCCCATCAATATATTGTTATAAAATGAATAATAATTAAATAGTAGTACATACTGAACCGAAATATTTTTTGTTCGTTTTTCTGTGCTTTTCTTGTTTGTTTTTACCTTGCATTAAAATTTGTATATGAAACTTTACTTCTTTTTTTAACTTTATATTTCTATATTTTTTTTATTCTAATATTTATTATAAATAAAGTTTCGTAAATTATTATGTGCGGCCCGCCAAAAAATTTGAAACTTAAATTGGCCCATTGATTAAAAAGGTTGCTCACCCCTGGTTTAAATGTTTAGTTCTTTGTATTTAAAATATTAATAAGAATTCGATGGACTTTTGTACTAAATAGAGAAGTTGTTATTTTTCTTTTCTTCATTTCAAACTTTTTCACTTTACTAATTTTCTTGTGTATCCTCTTATTGATTCCTTTTATCAACTCTTTCACTGTTTAATAAGCAATTCCATCTCATCACATTTCATAATTAAATAGACAGCTATAAATCTTCCACCTGTAAAACTTGGTCCATCTGTGTTTTCGTCTACAATACACATCTGAATATTGCATACAATATTATTCTTTTGCATTTGATTTAATAAATCACATGTTAATCTCAAATCACTGTATACATATTATCATATACTGCTTTAAACAAATTAGCAGTGGGTATCAGCCTATACATGTCCCACTGCTGGGCAAAGGCCTCCTCTATACAGAGAGTATCAGGGCATAGTCCACCACCATGCGGCCCCACTGCGGTTTGGCGGACTTCACATATCTTCGATTTTTTTTTTTTTTTGTTAGTGGGTATATACTTCACTTAAACTAATATGATTATTTGAAATAACTTACATGCAGAGCTGATATCCAATCTGGATTCATCTTGGAACTCAAGCAGAACAAAATCTCCAATGAAAATGGATCCATGATTAGAATTTCAGCATAATATCCATTGCAAAATAAGCGAAGATCTTCACTGTTACACATGTGATATGCCTGAACAAAAAGAGTTTCAATAAAAATAAAATTTTCAATAAAAATATAAAACTATAAGGCTATTTATTGAATTTAATTATTTTTAAAACATGTTGAATGAATTTTATCATAAATATCATTTGAGATGGTTGGAATTACACTGTGTTGCCACTCGTTTTAATTCAATATACTCTAGCAATTTAGAATCACAGTGCCAGCACCAATGAAATTATTAATTTCATACAAAATGAACATATTTTACGGATTTTCGAACCCTTTCCAGCGCTCTGTCCCGTGACCATGAATGTTGGAAAAGGTGAAACAACGGGAATTAAAAATCATTTAATTTGTATTCACTTAAAAACAAGAAATCGACATGTTGCTGACTATGATGAAGAATTATAGTTGGGAATATCATCCTTAAAAAAGGAGTGCTTTTCACCTGGATGTTAGTGTGAATCTGCGTCAACTTTACACTTTCTCTACATTTTCCATCCACAAGGTCCCAAGTACACATTTCACCTGCCTCTGAGGAGCTAACTATGTAGTTGTTATCCTGGAAAATTGACCAATATTTAATAAAGAATTTCGTTTTCAAAATATAAATGTATAGAAAAATATGGTAAAAATTTCCTTAAGTTTCCGGGTGTTTTCGACCAAACAAAAAGTTTATTCGGTTAAGAAAAATCACTAATGAAATAATCAACAATCAGAATTTGGCGGTCGCTTGTAGTTTTCGAGAAAAAAAATATTATATGAGTCGGATCGCTCTGTGTCGGATCACACACTTTCACTCTTAAAAAAGAGTAAGAGAAAATTTTCTGGGTGGTCATCTTCGCCCTCTGTGTCGGATCTGTCACTATTAAAATTTTTCATGTTGGCGGTACTGTGTATTCAGTTTTTGAAGTCAAATTGGTAAAAATGGTGAACTTTCTTAGTGAAAATTACGTTTTAAATAATTTATTTTCTCGAAAACTATAAGCAACCGCCAAATTTTGCTTCATGAGTATTTCATTAATGATTTTTCTGTACCTAATTACATTTTTTTGTCGAAAAACACCCGGAAACTTAAAGAAACTAATACCAAAAATATTAACTTGTTTATAATGCATATACAAGTAGAATGCTATAGAAGTGTCAATGGTTGTTTCATAACTTTTATAAATATAGAACCCTGCTCCTTTAACAATGAAGAACAGATTAAGACACACTATAAAAAAAACAGTGTTACAAAACTATAGTCTACCTACAAAAAATTTATTTTTTATCAACCCAACAATAAAGATATGAATATATTTTTGGTAAAAGCCTTTGATGGATGGCTTTGATTTTAATAATAATGAAGTTATTTAGTAGTCTGCAATATTCAGGGTCAGGGTCTCAATGTACAGGGTCTCAACCCTATTCACAAACTCAACGCAATATTATAAGTAACATTTAAAAATATTGCTATATAACCCTATTCCTTTGGTTCCAATTTTTATATGTTTCCTTTTTTAAATCAAAATGTGTAATATACTTCAATAGACTTGTAAGTAATTTTGCTTATTATGTAATTAAAAAAAAGGACACAATATAAAAGCATGATGCAAAGTATTTTAGTTTGAAAAACTCAATATGAATTAGAATAACTGTTTATATGAACACATATTGTTATTTAATATTGCTATCTATTCACATTTTACTACAATCAAACTAATTATGAAGTTTTGTATAATGGACTATGATTTCACAGGAAAGTTATAGGTTTCCTAATTTTGTGACCTATTTTATATATTTGACAGACACTCAGTCTTATTTACAATCCTTGGAAAAAATTTTCTGTAATAATTTACCATGGTTAAATAAAAAAAATAGCCATAAAAATTTATGTGAAATTTCTTACCTGAATAATAGAAGCTCTAGACAAACACGTAACAGGTGCAGTGTGCCCTACAAGAAGACACCGAGGTGTCATCTTCAATGTATCTGGATTTACTTGCCAAATACAAATCTGACCATCATAACACCCTGTTACCAGAGTTTTCTGGTCTCTAGAGAGGTATACAGATGACACGCAGTGCGAAGGGGCATTTTTGCCCCACAAAACAACAGGAACGATGAGGTTTGTACCGGGCATTCTTAGCTGTAATCAAATTTTTGTCGTAAGTGCTTTGAATGATATCAATTTGAATAACAATGACAAAATAGACGAACAGAATAAGTTTTATATGTTGTTACAAGGACATAATTTATTACAAACCTATTTATAGAGTAAGACAACTGAAATTTAATCGATGAAATATCTATTTTTTAATGATGAAAAATCTCTAAAACTCCGAGAAATATATCCATTGGAACACAAGACTTTATGCTTCTGTTACGAGCAATAATTATTATTCTGTATTATTACGTTATCGTTATCAAAATAATCAATGAACACTGACAATAGTTTGACATATCGTCAAATGTTACCAGTAGCAGTAAACCTTTTTATTGACCTTAACGTTTCAACTCCTTTTCAGGATCAACTTGAATCGGATTTCTGCACTAGCTTATGGTAATTGATACGATCTAAAGTGTTTATTTAAATGGTACATCCCCGCACATTACGCTCATCTAATAGCGACATTTTTTCTAAACTAATTTATGCCATTCTTTTCTCGGAAACTTTTCTTACACCCCCTTCCATCCGTACTGTGGTTAAAAATGTGTTCCTGGCTTTCAATTTATATGCAATGATAGAATTGGCAAAGGTCACGGCGGTATTGCATTTTATCTAAGAGACGATATAGCTTGTAAAGTCGTAAAACATTCTCTTGTATTCAAATTTTGCTGAGCTTTATTCGTCGAAATAATACTTAAACATTTCGGGGTTTTATTAGGAGTTTATTATTCTTCATCTCGCAATGATTGCTTTCTTCTTTGGAAAGAAAACTTGAACATTCCTACACACACTTGACTATACACTCTTACGTCTAAGGTGACTTTATTACTTCTTTTCTTAAAAAAAAAAGCGTAGGAAAAACCTACTGGACCTTGTCTCTTCTATTAACTTACACATCCCTCTTACTGCTACGCGCTCTCCTAACTGCAGAACTTCATTTTTAAATCACATTAATGTTTCTAATAGTCATGGTCTCTTCATATGGTCAACTATCTGCTTCGTTCTGATATCAAGATTTTTCTTTTCTAAAAAATCCACAGGCCCAAATTTAAAATATAAATTTTTACTCATAAGGAGCTTTAAATCTAATTGGTTAAAGCGTCTGGGCGCGAATCCTGAAGACGTGGGTTCAATTCCCACAGCGACGAGAAACTTATTTAATTTTCATGTACGATATAGATACGACATAGATATCTCTCGTGGTTAATTCGCAATTTTGTCTTTATGACTTCCTCTGAATAGCTTTCACTACTGATCGTCCAAGCCGAAGGTAAAACATTCATCCCGAGGGCTCTTGGATCAGCCATTATCCCCCCCCCCCCCCACTCCTCCCCAGTTACTACAAATCCCTACAGGATACAATATACGTCTTGATTGAAAGATACAATTCCTTTTCAATTGTATTTTTCGTATTAAATTGAATATATTTTAGGGAGATTTTTTCAATTTTTTTACCATAAATCTTAGAAATTTCTAATACATAAGTACGAAATGAAAAAGTATACCTACCTGATATTCATTGAAGACATTGTATATAAAAATAAAAGTAAATCAATTCTACTTCCTCATTGACTTCAAAAAAACCGTCAAACGTCATATGTTATGTCCTATATTATTTTTACTTTTATATATTTCTAAATAATTATGACTACGAAAAAGCATAATTTTAAAGAAGAACGAGTTTTGGAGCTAGCTGAAAAAATTGATGAAACTGATGAAATGAAGTTAAAGATGTTAGCGGCACTTGAAAAACCCGAACCTGAGGATGTTTTATACCCACCGGAATTAAATGCTCATTTAATCGAACAATTAAAGGTAGCATGAATAATTTATCTGGTGGAGCAAACATTAAAATAAGTTAACGTTGCTATTTCTTAAAAAATATTCGAGAAAACAAGCAACTGAAGAACACATCATTAACATCATTATTTTAGCGATCTACTGCTGAACATACATCCTATGCAAAAATTGTCATAATAGAACTGTGAAGTTCGTCAATAAATTATGAAATTCAATTTTAACATAAATTACGAAAAATTACTTAAACTTCTAAAAACTCTTAATCCTAAACTACACACTGTTATGTCCAACATAGTCCCTCCCACTTACAGGTAATGACGTGCGAAAATAATGAATTACGAAAATTAATCTTTACAAAAGACGAAGAAATGAAACAACTAAATAAAACGGTAAATGAGTTAAATCAACGAATTCGAGATATAATATCTGGCACTGGACCAGCAATATCCTCTAAATCAGCAGGAGTAATAAGTGCAAAAATTACGGAATTATGCAAACAAAATCGACATTTAGTTGCAGAACTAGAAGGTTATAAAACAAAAAATGCTACTTTGGAGCGCAAAATTATGCAGTTAGATTTACTAAGTAAAGAACACGAAAAATTAGATATGTGTATTTGCAAAGAAGACACCACCGATGCAAGTTCGGATGAGTTAAAAGATCTTAATAATAAATTGGCAAATGTTAACAAAAAACTTTTTGACAGTAAAAACAGAAACCTAGAATTAAAAAATGATATACTCCTAGCTACCAAAATATTACAACAAGAGCTTGGTGACAAATTTACCAGTATTAAAGAACTACAGCATGATTTAGCGGGATGGAAAGGTAGAGCCCAACAAATAGTTTTGTTACAAGCACGAATAAATGAACTGGAAGAAAAACTAAATGGAAAACACAAAGACCTCATTGAAGCCAAAAGAAAAGATCAAAGTCAGGTTAGTTATATTAATTACACATCTATATCGAATAATATTATTCAATTTCTGGGTGGATATCATGAAGAATAATAAATAAAGTTCTAAAGTACAATTACTGGAGGGAAACAAATTCTATCGACACTAGTTAAAAATATCCTTTAAAAACTTATATTGTACATTTTTAAATTTCGTATTTCTCTTAACACATAATACTTCATATCATAGGTTATAAGGGATTTAGAAATGAAAAGAAAAAGGGAGACAGAAATTGCGATGAAAGATTTACAAACATTAAAGGACGAGAATCAAGATTTAAAAAAGAAATGGGATGGGGCAAGATGCAGAATCAAGAACTTAGAATGTGATTCCCTTACGTTAAGACAAAAAATACAGACTTTTGCGGAGAAAAGTAATCACGATGATTTATTAATTAACGAACAAAGAGTAAGTGTGGCCATATTATATAATATTTAAATATGAATGTCTGAAATTAAAACAAATTATGACAGGTTGCTTCTGCTTTCAGAATCAAATTAAGAACCTTGAATTGTATTATCAAGATCTTTTGAAGGAAAATAACAATAAAATTAATAAATTGAATTATGATATAGATCAGAATAACAAAAATTTGAAAATATCTGATGAAAAAATTGATGCACTTCAAAAACAAGCGGTAGAGAAAACAATAAAAATCGAGGAACTCAGGACTCAGTTGGCAAGATTTGAAGAATGTTCCTTGCAAAATGTATTTTTTACTCCAATGAAGATGGCTTCCGATAATGAAATCAAGCAATTAACTGAACTTGTGAATAAGCTGAATGAGCGGTTGGATTCCGAAAGACATAGGTGGGAAGAATTGGATACAACCCATAGAAAATTACGAGTTAAAAAAAGGAAGTTAGAAAAGAAAATCATTGGACTTGAAGAAGAAATAAAAAATTGGAAAGAATCTAAAAAAAATTTAAAACTGTCTAAAACTTCAATAAATAAAGAACAACAAGTAGATATAACAAAACTATGTCCTATTACCAAAAAGCAATCATCAATTGCTACCTTTGCAGAAAAACCTAGCATGAGTACATCACTTGAATCAGATGCTATTAATGATTATGACAGTTTAGATAAAGATGAAATGAAATTTAAATTAGAATTGACTGAAGAGAAATTAAAAATGATGGAAGATAAGCTCAAAATGATTGAAGAAGAAAAACGAGATGATTATACTCATTTGACTGAAATGATACAAAATTCTAAGCAGCTGTTCAACGAAGCTTTGGCAGTTTTACAAAAAGAGAAATGTGTATGCTCGTAGTTACAAAATTAAAATAATCTGAAAATTTTTAAGTGATTTATATTTTTCTTGTACTCATAGATACATAATCCGTACTAAAAAACGATAGGCAAGTGGCAACTGGCAACACCGTCACTACTCGCCGCCATTTGTCATTTTTTTGGCATGCGCGTTGGGAGATGCAACGAAAATCGTGCTCGGGAGTGTTTTTCTAATATTAATCGTATTGCAAACATTGTTTGTGAGTTGTGATAAACATCTGTTGCTTTGTGATATACTCGTATTATTTTCGTTTGTGTGATTGTGCGTAAAATATATCAAAATGAATAAAACTTGCGCAAGGTGCGAGAAAACAGTATATCCTACAGAGGAACTGAAATGTTTGGACAAGGCAAGTAATTTTCTGTTCCGTTTTCTCTACGAATTTAATTTATTTTAATTTATCTTGCTCGTGTTTTGTATATAATACTTTCAAATGTATTTGTAGTTTCTTTGACTTATTATGAATCTTGATGCATATAAATACCGGTATAAATAATCAAAACAGCGCGGTGACTCATTATTTTATTCAATTTAATGCTGATATCATAGGGCGCACGATTAATGTCATATGTTTGTGAAAATATGCTTTCGTATTAAGCAATATGTTGACAACAAGTTGACCTTGCTTGTTTCGATTGTGACCATATCTTTACTGCAAGGATTATAAATACATAGTATTAATCACAATAACTTTTGCGAAAATATTTTCGGTTAAAAATATGAAGCTTGAGACCTTACCCGTAACTGTTTATGATCCTATACATATTTGCTTGGGTGTTTGCATCAGTCTGATAACATTCAAATCAGATAAGCTACATTATCGTCTGATAACATGTAAATTACGATAAAACGTAACATTTTTAAATTAAAAGCATTGTAACTATCTATTTTATTTACATTTTCTTCTACTGATATGCACATGCCTATCAATTAGAGCAGTATTGTGTCATTGGATAGTTTTTCTTGTCACAGTACTAAATCATCTTTAAAAGCAATATGCTTTCATTAGTAATTTGTATATATTTTCACTTCACATTTAATTATTATTACATGTCATGTCATTGAAGTAGTCAGATGAAATAAAACTGTTATCACATTTTCCTATTAGGCATGAAATTGATATGTATTAATTTACAATCATAAAATAATTTAAAAATTTTAAGTTTTGTCAAAAGAAAAAAGGAAAACCTGTACCGTTTTGTTTAACTAGTTTTGTAATCAAGTATATGTAAATTGGTGTCCTTAAAATAATACAAGTTTTAGGCAAATTAAACAGTGACTTTTTATGTATTGCCACTAAAATTACATAATTTTGAAAACAAAACTTAAGAAATCCAGACACAAAAGTTGTTGTCTAAGCATTTATTATACAATTTCGATGAAAATAATAATAAAATTAATGAAGATTACAGTACATATTAACTTTTGTCGAAATATATTTAAATAATATTTTATACTTTGATATACTTGATACTTTTTAAAAAGAATTGACATGAACAGTAAATAAAGGATATCCTTATTTATTGTTTATGTTAATTCTTTAACTTTTTATAGTCATGGAACAGACTGAGATATTTTATTTTCTAATTTCATAACATAATTAAAAAGTTTATGTAATAGCCCAGACTATGAAACCAAAAAAAATGTGAAATTACATAATTACCAGCATTATTTAGTATATTCTATTGCGAATAATGATTATTATTATTCTCGTAACTAGTAAGCGTGTAAACATTAAGGTTTGAATCTTGAATCTGATATCATTGAAATGATACATCTTTTCTTCAAACTTTATAAAAAAGAGTTGTTTTAATTAAAGCATACAAGTTCTTTTGAATATATTACCTAACACGAGTTTATTTTGACTGAAACCTATTTATTTATTTAGTTTGTTAAAGCCTGACTGATATAACAATATTGTATTGTTTATGTCATATATTTTTATTGATTTAAATGAAGTACAGTCACTTTTCTTTATGCAATATTATTATACTAAGGAATTTCATGACAGTTTAATATATATTTTTATTGAACAAGTATTTTGTTTATTAAGTATATTATTTGTAAGTGTAATGTTGTTCTTAAGTCTCAAAAATTACATGTGAAAAACTTGTTATGATACCGTAGGATCATGTGAGAGGATAAATCAAAAATGAAAACACTTGATATTGGCAACTGTGATTTAAACCTGTGACTGAAAGAATGCTGATATCCAAATATTTCTTTGGAAAGAAATATAATGACAGCATAATTCTTTGTAATTTTGTGTGATGATAGAAGTATCTTATTTGTCAAAATATGTCAAAATACCGTTTGAAAATTTCTATGCCGACATTTAAAATACGTATTTTATTTTAATAATAATGTTTAAAAGAAGTTGTATATAATGAAAAAAAAAAAGGGGAAAAAAGTATGATTCCGGCCAGGATCGAACTGGCGGCCTTCTGCGTGTAAAGCAGATGTGATAACCACTACACCACGGAACCAGATGTTATCTATTATGAAAAATTGTATATCATTTTAGTCGTTAATCATTTATATTTCGTAATATTTAACTAATCTGAAATTAACATGAGCCAATATGCTTCATATTAACGTAGCGTATAATAACGACAGCGTATACTTACGAGAGAGTCTTGTTCCATTTTATTGTTAAAAAAAAAGAATAGTTGCAACACTAACAAAAAAAATTTAGGACTCGATAACGGAGCTTATTTTTCTTACTTGCGAACAGGGGGAGTCGACACTACCTGTATACTAAATCACCGTACGAGGAAACTTTCTTTATACAATTAGTGTTATAATTGTTTTATGATGGTCTACTCAGTTTATAATAATTATTGTTTTTTTTTTAATGTGAAAAGTTGTCAAGCTAGCAGGTGGTCCACCTGATGTTAAGTAACTAGCGCCACCCATGGACATTTGCATGCAGTCCTTTATTAAAGTAGGCCCCGATTACCTTAACAGCGAAAAGCGAAAGTTTAATACTTCCGCTTAATTAACTCTTGATAAATTTTAGATTTTTTAACACTGTATACTTTAACATTTGAACTGTCATTATTTTGTGCTTCATCAAACAGGACCCGTAAAAAGGTTTCTATTATTGTAATATAACAAATAAAAAACGTAATTTACTACTTAGCATAGGTTCGCATGCCTCGCGTGTGGCTGTCGCCGCGTTTTTGTACGGCCCTGTGTCTGAGAAATGTCGGAGGCCGGTTTTAATTCGCCCAATAAAGGACCTAATGAGAGGCCGCGAATGTTCCGTCTTTGAAGCGAACAGCTGACGCGCGTATGTAAAGATGCGGGACATTGTGCGACCTCGCCGTAGCTAGAAGTAATCTACTTATGGTAATCACTTAACATCTTACGCGTCGCAGTGCATTTTTAGTTATTTGTTACAAACTCGGGAAAACTTTTTTTATATGTGAAACGTTGTCAAACAAGTAGGCGGTGCGGCAGACATTAAGTGATTACCACCATGGACATCTAAAATAGCTGATGGCTTGCAGATGCGTCGACAACATTTAAAAACAAACGAGCCTCGGTTCCCTCACTCGCCGGACGAAATGCGAAAGCATAGCAGTTCCAATTCACGCTGGTAAGGCCCTGGTACTGCCCCAAACGAGCCTGCCCATTTCTACAACAGCAGAAGCTGTTGTATGGCTCTTCCACAGTAACTTCGCGTGTGGAAACTTAAGAAGAAGACAAAGAAATGCACAGACGGAAAGAAATGGACGGACGGCTTAGGAATACGTTACCTAATATAAAGAAACATTTCTAGTATGCATATATTTTTATAGAATTCGATCTTCAGTTGCTCAATGTCCGGGCGATTTTTATTATAATTATTTATGCTCCAGCGGCCAGAGTACCAATCAAGGAGCCGGAACTCTTAATGACAATTGCCCGTTGCAATTTTAAGTGCTGACTTAGTACCGTTCGGCGGGGAAGGAAAACATCGTGTAGAAATCAAGATTTCTTATCGAGATATGTATGAAATCGAAGAAATATAAATTTTATAATGCTAACGTCTACACTTAAGGTGAAACATTAAAATTTGTAGAAAAATCGATGAAAAGTCTTTCTTCGCTGCGGGAATCGAACCGCCAAGCATAGTTTAAAATGCGAAAAAACCATATAGATAAAAGATTTTCTTCGATGAGGCAATTAGCTGTTAAGATTAGTAATTAAATTACTCAAATTTGGAAACTATCGAAGTCGCAAGATACGGTTGTTTAATTCAGTTTAAGTCTATTTTTATTAGTTTATATGAATTATTATTGGGCCGTTAATATATTATGAACATTTGCAAAAGACTTTTAATGCCTTTTTTTGCAGCTGGTAATACTATATATATCAGTCATCAAGCATATTTAACAAACTGTCTGATTTTATTTTCGCAGGTTGTTAAATATAAATAATGTAGTAACAAGAAGGGAACGTAAATAAGTAGGTGTGGGGAATTTAATTGAATTTATTAGTTAACGTAAATTAACTAAGTAGTGAAAGCATTATACATTCGTTACATTTAATAAAATAACTTCCGGAACAATTTTCTCCATAGTAGTATAGATCCGGAACTGTCGTTGCAACTTGTTATCTTAATTAAGTATGAAATGAAAGAAAACTTTTGGTAGTACTTTCTAATCCGTTTGGCGTAATTGATTTCATTGATCCAATTTGCTCAATTTAAAGTGGATTTCAGATTTTAAACGATGCCGAAATTAATTTACATTAAATCTACGGAGATAAGATAACGTAGTAATTGCTGTTACAAGGCTAATAATATAGATTCCCAAGACGATATAGAATTACGTTACATGTACATACCGCTTGTTTTTGATAATCATTTTTTTTATATCGTAAATGTATAGTTTTATCTAAGTTTCCTTCTTAGTTACTTTTTAGTGCACTATTCATAGAATGTATAAATTTACAAGGACAGATTTATTGAAATAACTTAAGTTACCTATTTCATGTGAGAAGGTGGCTAGTTCGCCAGATTTTAAGTTTAACCCTTGCCCATAGATATCGAGCATACCATTACCGTTGCACATGCATTTCCATACCTTAATAAGTATATTTTTGTACAAAAACAAAACTGACTTCAAATAACTCACTATACATTTCTTATTTGATTTTGAGGAGTTCCCTGACCGATCTCCGAAGTTCAAGGTCAATCAGTCAATGAATCAAAAACATGAACTAGACCTAATCCAAAGGAAAAAATAATTTTTAAAATCGTATCATAAATGACCCAGGTCTAAAAGGTCTAAGGTAAAAACCGAAAAAATATCTACGGATTAAAGCACCTGCTCCTTTTTTTGTAGTCGGTTGAAAAGAATA